GAGAGAGGGGCCCTGAGGGGAAATGGGGCGGGGGGAGGGAGGTTGATGGTGGGGAAGGGGAAGAATAAAGCTGGGGATGGGGTCACATAGGGAAGGGAGAATGGAGGAGGGGGTCAGTTATGGGGAGAGGGGCCCTCAAGGAGGGCAGAGCTGGGGAGGGGGCCCGTGTGGGGGTGAGAGAGCTGTGTGTGAGGGAAGGCTGTGGGGAGAGGGGCCCTGAGCGGGCAGGACGAGGCAGGGGAGGCCCGAGGAGGGGAGAGCCCGCAGAGCCTGCGCCTTGGCAGGGCCCCAGTGAGCGGGACGGGCCCTGCGGTGTCGGGGGGCGGCAGGGCCCCGTCCCTGACTCGCAATGCGAGGGGTGAAGAGGAGCCCCGGGCGCCTCCCCGCAGTGGCCAGGCCTTCCCCGGGGCTTTGCGCTTCAGAGCGTCGCTGCTGCCTAGGGGTGCAGCCCCCCACACGGCTCGGGCTCTCAACTCGCTAATTTTTTTATAAGGATTCGGAGTTATAAAAGCCTGTGCTGTGCCGTGGAAACGACAGACGATAGCATAGCTCTTCCCCCGGGCTGCTGCAGCTTGCTTAATATATCTCTTTGCTGCAAGCAGGCTCCTAATGAGGTTATGAAATGAGTGTGTGTCACAGCTAAGTCCCACACGCGGCTCTGCTGCTGAGGTAGACCCAGGATTTCATCCTGGGCATTGGGGGTGACTGATGTCACCCCCACCAGGCCCCCCAGCCGCTTCTGAGGTGCTTTGTGCTTCTGCTTATCTGCCAGGTGCATCATAACCTTAAAATTTTCCACACCACTGACCGCTAGTAAAGGACGAAACGCTTTCTTCTTTCAATTTACCCCAAAAAAGTCTGTCAAAATGATGTTTATCTGCACTAAATTGCTTTCCAGTTCTTGCCTTTTTATTCCTACTCAAAGGAGATGGCTTGAGTGACTATGTGGAAAAGATTTTTCTGTTTTACGGGAGCTTCTTTGACTTCAGTAGTAAAATAAGTCTTTGTCTATTGGTTTACTTCCAGTGGAAATCAGTTTTTATTCTTCCAAAACTGCCTGTGCAAAATACATAGCAAAGAGCTGTGTGCTTGCAAATAATGGAAGTGTAAATCAGTGGCGTGTCCTTGCAAGCCCTGTAGAGAAGGATGCTCGTGCAGCAAAGGTATTGGCTTCCTGTAAGGTAGCAGGGATTTATTCTCATCTTTGTCGCAGATCACTACGATAACGCTGTTTGATGTCTCTTTGTTCTCCTTCCTTTAAATGATCACAAGGTTTTCCTTCAGTATTAGGATCAGATAAATTAACTAGGCCATAGAAGGTGCTGAAATAAGCAGTACAGAAAACTTGATTAATCGATATATTTTGCTGTTTACCTTAATGAAAGTATGGAAACTGGAAGCATATTTTAGTCTCCTACAGCATATTTTTTTTGTTAACTGCTATTTTGACAGATTCAGGGCCTTAGTGCAGTGCACATTTATTTATTTATTTATTTATTTGTTTGTTTATTTATTTATTTATTTATTCATTCTGTTTGTAATTAACCAGCTCCTGTGTTTTAACTACTGTGGGATTTCAATTTGACTAAATTTTGGTGTTAATTAATGAGGAATCTGTCCTGAAACAGTTTTAATGCTTTTTTGAATTAATGCTATACGGCAATAATAAATATTCTGTAGAGAGAAAAAAAATAGAGATATCAAATATCATACCATCTAGTAACTGTATTGGAAGAATTGGCGGCCAGCAATTTAACTCTGTATTTCTTTAAAAAAAAACCACCAAACCAAAAATACATTTTAAAAAACCCAGCAAATTTAAATATGTCACTAATGTGCCTTTTTTCTTAGTTGTGTTTCATGGAAGTCATAAAAACAGCCTGTGGAGCCCCAGATAAAGAGCCACTGCTCTGCCTGGAATGTTTTGGATTCAGGCACATATTTCAGGGCAGACAAACTGTCATGGGCAGCCTGGAATCTCGTTTTGAAGTGTAGGCGTCCCAGGAAGCACAAGACTGGCTAAATAACTGTTTGCAAGCACAGCACAGACAAGAAAAATAGGTTGGTTTTTGGAGTGCTAGCATTTTCAGGATGGTTTGTCTGAAATAACTGTCTCTTTAATCAGGTCTGGCTTCTTCAAAGAGCAAATCCAATTCACTTGTTGAATTAGAAGAATGATATTTCTTTATATTTGCAGGATAACATCATACTTGGACATGAGATATGGAAAACTGTGACTTGGTGAATGCTGTGCAAGAAATTCCTTCAGCTTCTGCAGACGCTGATGTCATTAACACCCACAACTCTGGCTTGAACTTGAATTCCACCAGGTAATATGCTGAAGGAAATCCTAAGAATATTTAAATTCATTTTGTTTTGCATATATAGTACACTTTTACAGTAATATTATTACTAAGATGAAACCATCTGTAGTATATTTTAGTTTTCTTTAGAGTTGCTTAAGGTACAATAAGTTCGAAGTTTTACGGAAAGAAGTGTCATATCTTCCTTAAAAACATCCATTATCTTGCATCGCTTGAAATGAGGGGAAAAAAAACACTGACTTGGAAAGGTAACAAGAGGCTGTTCTTAGGAAAGCTCATATACTTTGGTGCATAATTTGTAGATAATAGTAGCGCAGAAAAACTGTTTCTGCTCAGTGCCCAGGACACTCTCAATGAGCAAGAGAGGAAAATGTGGCTTAAGCTGCAGCTCAGGAGAGGTTACTTGCTAATCTGTTGAGATAATAATTATACATCACTTATTATTCATATGATTTCTCAGATGGAAAATATTCTTATCAATGTACCAGCTATGTTTTTTTCAGCATGATGAGTGTCACGGTGTAAGTTAAGCGTGTATTTCTTGTTTTGGCTACTCTGCTGGACATGTGGCACAATAAATAATTGAAATGTTTTTCCTCATGTTTCAGAAGTCCCTCACCCAATCCCAGTGGAGTTTCTGGTTACTCAGGGAATGCCAGGTCCTCGCTAATGCCTGGTTCTGATGAAGTACTTGCCTCCTTCATGCAAGATATCCAGAACTTAGGAAGTATTGACTCAGAAACTGTGAAGAACTTTGAGGTAATTCATGTTAAGGTTTTTGTTTTGTTTTGTTTTTCTATCACTATTTTTCGCTCTGTAAAGAGTATCAAGTATTGACACAATGGGCTTCTTTCTGCGAAATTGTTGAGCTTTCTGGTTGTGAAAACGTACTTGCTTCATTTTCAGAAAAAGCATTATCCTTTATTTTTTTAATCTAACTTAAATTGCAAAGGTTTGTTATCTTGTTATCTAAAAGGATTTTTTTTTCAATTAATGTACCTGTGTTTCCTTTCAGTGACATGGTAGGGAATTGCGTGTGTTGTAGGGTGGAAAACTAGAGTGCAGTTATTGAAATTTATATTACATCAGCATTTAAAGTTAAGATTGAATAATGATATGAGTGGAGTAAAGGTTAAGAGATACTGTATCACTGTGCCTTAATTATTTTATTTTATGTTTTAATAGACAAGGTGGTTGCAGTTATTCAGACTGGTAGAAAAACAATGTCAAGAACAAATAGCTGCCCAACAGGAGCAGTTCCACCATCAAATTCAAGTAAGCAATTACTTGTTCAAATAAGTAGGTTTGACTGTGTTTTTTTTTTTTTTAATTTTCTTCTTTTTTTTCCCTTTTCCTTGTCTAAAAAATAAAGTATGGTCCCTGGCAGTGTTGTGTTCTTCTGTAAGTATTTTGGGACTGATAATTCTTCCAGTGGGCAGCTAATTCATGGGAGTGGATGATCGGGCCACTGACTTGCGGGATGCGGATTTCAGCTGGCCTTGATTAATTAATGAAGTAACTGATAGGAAGCACTTCAGAAGTGATGATTCTTGGAGTATTTGATTTCAGTTCTGTTTTCACAAACATTTGATTCAGAATGCCCACAAAGTACTTGAATTCTAAGTATGAGCTGTTTTGTTGTAACTGCTAGAGAGTGTCAGTTCTGATTTCCAGACATTATAGTCTTCTCTTCATCAGAAAACATGTAACGTATAATCCTCTTATGTAGCTAGTATATAGTGTAGGAAAACATGAATATTAGTAGTTGAACATCTATTTTACCCTTTAGTTGAATAATCTTTAATTTCTAAAAAAAAAAAGATTCAAATGTGAAGATCCACATTTCTGTCAAAACCATATTTATCCATTAAAACAATGGATACAAACAATGGCACAAAAGGAATGTATATGTGTGTATGAAAGATGGTAATTCTGTAAATATATAATACTTTATCTTCCATCATTTTGGTTG